ACAAAAAATGTGAAGAAATGGTATGTGTTAAACATGTGAAAAATGTTCATGTGTAATTTGCTATATATTTAATGACTGCATTTATGGACATTATTTTTTGTGTAAATTTGTTTTTCTCAATGTTTTTTGGATCACGTAATTGCTGAGTATCTGAAATGAAGAGATTTAATAAAACAAATTAATTAACTTTTTTAGTCCTTTTAAAAGTTCCTGCTTGTAGAGGTTATTATGTGGCAAAACATTGTTATGTCCTAAATGACCTCCAATTTTACAATATATTGTTTAAAATTTTGCAGTGCAGTGCTTGAAAAACATTTTTATTTATATAATAAATTGTTTCTAACTTTTTTTGTTTGCAGAATTAATGTCCTGGTATGTGTATGATAAGTTTTAATTATGTGCTAAATTTTTCTTCACTTCCGGGATTATATTTTAGTTTGTGTGTTATAATGTATGCATTGCAGTTCAGTGATTTATGAAATCTTTCTTTAAATAACTTTATTGTGTCAAAAGAAATGTATTCATAGCATTTTGTGTGACTTATAATAGATTCTGTTTTTACTTCTTTTCTTTTAATCATTTTAATTTATAAGTATATTATGAATTCAGTCCTAAAGCTTTATTGACGTGCTGTGTTTAGAAAATATTTTAATTTTGGGAGGAGGCATATGAGAAGTGACTATGAAAAACTGTGATTCTTTTTCTAGAAATGTATTTATGAATGTATATGGGATTTTGTATGTTATGATATAAATTATATACAGTACAAAGTCCGAGATCCAGAATATCTAAAATCCAGACCTGAAAGCCACTAACAATTTTTTTTTAATGCTTTATGCTTGCACATTTGATTTTTTTCTTTTTTCCATAAGGAAATATGTGGAGAAATCTGATTCTTAATCTCAATTCAATACTAAATAAAATACCTTGTTGCTGCAGAAACAATCATTTTAGCATAAATTTGTGTCATCAATAATTTGGCTCCGTAGCTTTGTATCTGCTTGACATACATCTCAAAATGAAACATTCTGCATAGAAACATCATTGATTTTGCAACTACTAACATTTTATATCCCTGGCAAATCCTTATTTATTATGTTTTGCTTTCATCACCGTATGTTTATCAACACATGACAGTTTGAGTAATGACGCATGCAGCGATACCTAAACAATTTTCATTACATTATATTTATGTAATTATATATTATTTATTTGTATAATAACAAAGAGTATGAAAGCCTTTTATGTTGACATTACGCTTGCCGATGATTACAGATATAAGTTAAAGACACTAAATGTTGACGACGAGGAAAAATTTAACAAAAATTTCTTTCCATATGCTAAAAATAGATTTTGTTAATGGTATTCATAGGCCAAGAGATTACATGTAATGCTATTTGAATTAAGAATAACTAATTTTTTTAATTCACATAAACCCACAACCGGCACCAGAGCTTGTATCACCGCACTAGGCACCAGAATTTAGGGAAGACAAAATTTTTGGAATTTAGCAAAGTACTGAATAACAAAATTAAGGCATGATAAAATTTTTAGAATTTAGGGAAAGCACTGGGATCCAAAATTAAGGAGCAGCCAAAATTTAGAACTTAGGGAGGTGCTTGGCAGTAGGATTTAGGACCCGCAGCGTCTGCATCAGGTGGCAAAATATCTAGTGCCAGCCCTCAGTTAGCTTAAGTATGTGTGGGAATTTATGTATTCAGGACTCAGATAAGCCTTAAGCATGTGCAAGAAATAGACATAAGTATGATAAATAACTAAGTTAATACGAGGCTTTCAGATATCACAAGTCACAGGTGAAATTTTCCAATTAATAGATTTTGTAAAGAAATGTGAAGAAGCAGTAAGTAATAAATAAGATGATATAGCAGAAGTTTTTCCTTGCAATGACAATGCTCCATCAATCAATTAACGGACAGAGAAATCAATAGTATGGTTCTAGATCCAGAAAATACCGCTGAAGAAAGCAAGAAAAGTTTTTGAAAATGAAAAAAAAATTTGATTAACAAGTTAGTCGGAATTCTTGACACAGCAGCTACAGAACAGCAGTGGAACTTTGTAACTGAATAAGAGATTCTGCCTGTCTATAGTATTGAAGAGAAAGCACAAAAACAAAGCAGCTTAAACAAATTACTTTTAAAGAAATGTTTAAAGAAGTAAACAAATAAATAGTAAGCTTTTTTTTTTTTTTTTTTTTTTTTTTTTTTTTTGTAAATTTTGATATCCTTTAGATCATAAATGCTTTGTTATTTCATAAATCACGATTTCATATTTTTAATTTTATAATTTCAACATGCCATTTTACTAGATTTAAACTGATGATCTAATATTTGGAAAAATTCCAAATCCGGAATCACCGAAGTCTTGACGAGTCCGATCTCTGACTTGGTACTGTAATATGTATTATTTTTAGTTTGCACTAAAATTTTAGTTTGATTTATTAACAACATTTTGTTGCTTTGTCATATTCCCTTTTTTTTTTTTTTTAATTTTTTTATTTGAAGCATTTTAATTTTATTTTTCGTTTACAGAAGAGAGCAAAGTTTATTTTAAAAAGTTACTTCTCCCATAAATTTTTATACCCTAAATTCTGTGAAAATTCTAAATTAGATAACACTTTTGATTTTTAAGGATCAATATTCCTTCTTTTGTGGAATATTATTAAACTTTTATGGTATTTTGTTTTCTTTTTTAAATTTACTGTAGTGGATGTACTTACATTTGCTAGTTATATAAGCAGGGCTTAAATGAAGTACTATTTGTACGAGTTAAAAAAATTTGGTACTGTTCTGTTATCGTGACTGGATTCAGAAATGTATGAATGTATGCACATATGTATGTATGTGCATATATGTGTATATGTATACACACATACACTTGTGCCTACATGCATGTATATTAGAACTCTTATATGTATACATACATACATTTCTGGATCTGGTCTTGATAACAGAACAGTACCAAAAATTCATATGAATTGTTTCTAAAATGTTTATAATTTTCTTGCTATAGTTTTGCAAGTCATACTCTTATTTTCTTAAATGAGATTAATTATTTAAATTAAAACTTATTTAATTCCTTGTTCTGTAAATTATTTTTTCTGTAACAAAAATATACTGTTGAAAAGAGTTTTTTGTACATGGAAGCTGTGTAGTGTCTTATTTATTTATTTATTTTTTATATTATAACAAAGGCAAAAGCATTTTCATGTAATCTATTAAATTTCTGATTTAATAAGCCATTTATATGCATTCAGTAATATTTGTCCAAATATTTAAATGTAACTACGCATATACATCTTAAAATGTTCATTAATTATTAAAGTTGCTCATGATAAATGAAAGAATCTTAATTTATATAGACAGGAGTATTTTGCAATTACATTCAAAGAAATATGTCTTATATTTGGGAATTTCATTGTTTCAAGATCATATCTATAGATGGTTAAAGGGTTAAAACAAAGGGTTGTGTTAACACAATGTACCTATTTGGTTAAATTATAAAAGATATTATTTATTGATGCTTTGTGATATTATTTATGAATTTCATCGTACAATTCGAAAATTCCATGCACTCCCCCCTTAAAATTAAATAAGATTATTTTTAGTATTTCACTAAGAAAGTTACTTTGTTCTCTCAGAGTTGTAATAGAAATAGTCCTATTTAGCATCTTTGGTATAGGGAAAGATTTACTGTTATTTCTTTGTATTGCACTTGGCTATTTTTCTGTATCTTCAGAGAGAAAGCATTCTTATCACCTATGACTCTCTGGGCAAACCTTCACTGTTCTGTTTGGAAAGTTGTCTTGGATGCTTTAGTTTCAAAAGGTGTAAGCAAGTAGGATGACAACTACAAATATGTTTAACAATAGAGAAACTAAAAATAATCTACTTGCAATCGTTATTGCCTTTGTGAAAATCAACGTGTTTAACTTATTTGTACTATGGATTGTTATTAATTTACTGAACTAATGGAAGCCTAAATGTATGCATTCAGTGAAATTTTCATTGGTTAGTTTACATTTCAGTAAAACATGAAAGAGTGAAAGAGAAGAAAGAGACTATTAGGAACTTTTGGGGTATTTTTATGCTGTGATTAGATTATAGTTATTGAATAGGTGATTTTATAGAGGAGGAATAGTTTAGAAAAGTGGAGTATGTTATTAATTACCCTTAAGTGTGACAAATTGATGCAAATGTATATATTTTTGACTTATTTGCCATACTTTCAAAATACAATAAAATAATTTTAGAAGAACATGAAATTTTAATATTTTATTGCTAAATTTAATTGTGTGCAAATTTTTGAAAATATTTTGCCAAAACTTTTTAATGTTATTTAGGAAGATCTTGATTAAATAAGTGTTGATTTGAAATGATTCTTGTAGAGGTCTGTTATATGTTGCAATTACAGGTGTCTTATATTCCAAATTAGAAAGTAATTTAAAATACTTATTCTTTTCTCTTTCCCTGAAAAGTATTTAAATGTTATGAAGGAAAGTAAAAATTTGTAATTCTGTAATTGCATGTGTGTGACTTTTTGTTCCGCAGTTTATTGTCTGTGCTTTATGAGTATCATCTGATGTATTAAAGTACATATAAAATTTGTCATTGTAATAAAGCTCATTGTTACAAATACCTGTTGCCATTTTATTCTGAATCTCATCATAAAAGCTAAAACTTCATATAAAATTTAGAAATACTTTTTAGTGTGACATAAAATGTTATAAACACTTGTTTAAGTAAAAATAATCCTACAGTTATTTATGTTTATTTCATTATTTTCACGACTTAAGCGTACGTTTCAACATCATTAGCATTTGTCTTAATTCAATAAAATTTTAATATTTCATATAAATCTAAGCATGCAATAGAGATTTTTAATTATTTGTTATAAGGTTTTATCATTAGTTTAACAGTAAGGAGGCAAATTTCAATTTATATTAGCTTAAACTGCATAGAAGTGTACTTTTCATATTGCAGATTGTCCAGGAACTGGGAGTGAAAATGCAGGAAAAGCTGAAGCTTGTGCTGGGTGCCCCAATCAAAATATTTGTGCTTCATCTAAGCCTGCTGAACCTGATCCTGGTAATACTTATTAGCAAAGCTAGTTATAGCTTAATTTATAAATTAAGCTGCAATGTATTTTGATATATTTTGTTTAGTTATTTTTTTAGTCACAATGTTTTTTTAATTTGATCATGAAGATTTATGTTAAAAAAAGAAATAATCAACCCGCGAAAACGCACACTATTTTTAGCTACGGGAGGACGCACGTCGGGCTCCGTAGGCCCGAAGCGTTTTCTTAATAAAACAAAAACAAAATTGCTTGTGTTAATTGAAGAAAAACATTTAAATAATAAAACCAGATGTATAAAATATAAAAATATACTTTTAATTTAATAAGTCTAATAAAGTTTTATTTTAAAACAGTTTTAAGATTGAAATTATTTATCACCAACAACAAAAATTAAACTGATTTCTTTTTGAGTGCAAATAAAATTTAGTACTAATTTATGCAATATTAAATTTTTACAGCAATAATTTCAAAATAAAACTTGCATTTCACATTTATTTGTAAATAATCGTGCTGTGTTTACCACAAACATTTTTCTCGCACATGGCGCAGCGAATTTGTGATTTTCGGTCCGTTACGCTAAGACAACTTTTTTGCAATTTTCAACGAACTTTTCAAAGGCATATCTTATCGGAGCCAGTTTACTTATTTCCCTTCTAGAAGAGCGATCTCTTATGTCACCAAATCTCAAACATCTCTTTAGAAATTTAAAAAAAGTTTGTTAGACATTGTTCGATGAAAAATGTCAAGCACTGTTCCATCAGTCACCCAAAGGTCAAGAACATTTACGTGAGAAGCCTTGTGGAGTCGTTCAAAATACAGAAGACCAATAAATGCTCTGATTTCTGTAATATTTGTGGATCGAGCATCTCTCTATCTTCCAAATTTGATGGCAATGGATTCAATATAAATGTTCGCATAATCTACTTAGAATTTTTATTATTATTTTATCCATAAGCAGTCGCCAAGAATTCATAGGGAAGAACACAAATTTTGCTTCACAAACATTTCCGAATAATTGTCTCGCAATGTTGTGATCAAGAGTTCTCACAGCAAGTCTTGGTTCTTTTTTATTACATTTCGTCACATTATATTTGCCAAGATAACAATTCGCTGATGGACACAAAATTACTTAATTCATTACTACGTTCATCACTTGAGACTAATACCTCTTCAGAACTTAATTGGTGATCATTAAACTGTTCTTCACCAACTATTTCTTCGTCCTCTTCATTAATTGTATCTTCATCAATCGACACTTTGGCTAATAGTTTCTGTAGTCTTTTCATTTCATCGGCATAACTCAAATAGCAAGACCTTTTTGCAACTGCCCGATCTCTTTCACAATTTTAAATAACAATGCGAGCGTGTGTGTGCCTTGGGCCTGGGAAGTCCGGTTACTCACTTTTTGAGAAAAGATAAAGGATTAATTTCCCGAAATGCTTGTGAATGATAAGTACATAACCTTAAACACAGCTACTGAGAAGGTCGAAAGATTTCACCAAAGGGAGAAATTTTTGTATTACGTTTTTGTAACGACAGGGCCTCGCAGGCGCGACGTGCGTTCTTATGGGTTAACTAGATTTGTTTAATTAAGTATTTTGTTATCATATTCTTATATTTAATGGTATGATATTTAGATCATTAATAAAAATGAGCAAATGTCATATTCTAAGGAACAAGACTATATGTGAACTATATTTTTAATATTACTTTAAGCAAATTTTATGATTAAAGACATTATATTTGATTGATGATAAAGACATTATATTGCTCAGAGAATTAAACCTATTTTGTTTTATAAATGTGTGGGAAAATATATTTTTTTGTAAACTATTAATTATACTTCCATTAAAAAAAGCTTACATAAGCTATGTCAAGTAAAGTAGTTAATATGAAAATTACAATACATTAATCCATATTTTTATATCTAAGCTGCTGTAAAATACTGCATGTAATGCTCTCATCTGCATAAAAAGACACTGGTTATATTAAACTGGTTTTTTTTTAAAGCTCTGTATCCTATATTCATGTAACTTACTTAAATATGGCACAACTGACAAATTGCATGTGGTGATACTTTAGCAACATCACATAAGTTAATAATAATGCATACTGTATAATATGCAGGGTGATTCTAAAATATAAAGCAGAGGGGACTGAAATAAACAGATTTTGTAATGGAATGTTTGTGCTTAAATGGTTTGTGTAAGAGCTACCATGTAAAAAAAGGTGTAAATAACAAGTAAGAGAGAGAGAGGTAAAGTTAAATTGGAATAGTTATTCAGCTTTTTATAATAGCTGCTCAAAAGTGTGATTACGAAGAATTATGCAAGATTCATAATGATGGTTTAAACACTTGAACACTATGTGATTTGGCAGCTGTCTGCTTTAGAATTGTTCTCTGTGCATCCTTAGAGTTATTGCTTCATTTCTATTTATGAATGTTTTCCTGCATGAATAAAATGCATATCAGCGAGTTTCACATTCAGGTAGCAGTGGATATCATTCAAAATGTTTACAGGGAATGACAATTTATGCCAGTGGACTGCTTTCACCTATTGATCTCAACATCATCTTCTACAACCTAAATGCATTATTTTTATGCAAATATTCCATTATAAAATCTGCTCATTTCAGTTTCTTCTTATATGCTTTTTATTAGCTTTTTCTTACAGTTTGGGTTTTTAAAGGGAATAGGAAGGGGTGGCTACAGGTAGTTGAGCAGTGTGATTGGTTATAGGTTAATTACATTGCTTTCGTACATATTTTGGTAACAGTCACACCAAAAATCTTTGCTATTACTTTCTCATTTATTCAATGATCAATAAAATGTTTCTAAATATTTTGCTTTTTTTATCAGTATTTATTTGAACACTTTGTTGTTTTTTGCCATTACTGATAAATTTCTTGTATACTCCTGATTAAGCAACCACATATTCCCCGATGTATGTGTGCCACAGGTTAGGAAATGTTGGTGTAGAGCATAGATTTAGGGAGAAAACATCAAATTTTGGTTAAATATATTTATTACAACCGTAAATAGAATGCAGCAATGGTTCATTATTCAACAGTATATGCCACATAAACTCTTCCTAGACTACAACAACAGTGTGATGACAGTATCGTCAAGCAGTACATAGAAAAGTTATGCTGCTAAATAACATTAGGAAATTGTGACAGAGAATTAAAGATTAATCATTCCCTCCAATTCTCTTGTCACTAGAATTAACGAAAGTATCAGTAATTTACAGAGGAAAAAATAAATTATTAACTAAAAAGAAGTTCTTAAAGTAACATTAAAAATACAGTTTACCATATTAAAAAAAAAAATTAGGTAATGCAAATCTCTTAAAGGTACACATGTGACCAAAACTAAGTTGCCACCAAATATTAGAACCCTGCATTATATTTAAAGAAATTAAATAATGAAGAATCTGCATGTATGTTTCTTGCATTGTGATAATAGAATGATAGAGCCATAAAGTTTTGAATAATGTACGTTTCCACCCGAATATGGGCAACTGGATGCCCAAATTTGGAATTTGTTTTATTATCTATTTCATATTTTGTGAAACTTTAACGAATTTTTGATTATCAAATTCAGCGATTTAAAAGCGAGCAATTTCAACATTGTACGGGGGGAAAAAAACATTTTTATCTCCAGCGTGCGAGACTGTGTGTTAGAAATTCTAAAGATATGCTCAATTTAAAATTATTTTGTGATATTGCTGTTGAACTGAATTTTATGGTTTCAGTGTGAAAAACATGATATTTAATGAGCACAAAACATTAAAAAAATGCCCCTTTGGGTGTAACGTAAAATCTGAAAGCTTTCAGATGTCTATAGATATATTTACTTTTGCATTTTGTTTCATTTTCTCTTCCTTGTTTAGATACTGACATAATCAGAAAGAATTTGTGTCTTTCAGATGTCTATAAATATATTTACTTTTGCATTTTGTTTCATTTTCTCTTCCTTGTTTAGATACTGACATAATCAGAAAGAATTTGTGTGATATTAAACATATTATTCTTGTGCTCTCGGGAAAAGGAGGTGTTGGGAAAAGTACATTTTCATCGCTTCTAGCTCAAACTCTAGCTGCAGATTTAACTAAAAATGTGAGTATATTAAGTTTCATCTTGTTGATTAAAAAATTAGGCCATGAATATTTAAATGGTATATATATTTTTTTAAATTAAAAAAAAATTAAGTTTTAATGTTGCACTCTTAAATTTATGAAATAAAATATTTTGATATAAATTTCAATATATCAGTTATCTGTAATCTTACAGTATGCAGATTTAACACTTTTAGTTAATTACTTATTTTTTAGATGGCAGCACTAAACTTGGTTGTTTTAATTATTTCTTTTTTCCACTGTTGTATCACACGTTCGAATTAAAAATTTTAGTGGCACCATCTATGAAATAACTAACTGTACGGGAGAAAAAAATTGTTTCATTTTCTCTTGTTTAGATATTGACATAATCAGAAAGAATTTGTGTGATATATTCTTACATATTAGAAAAAAAAAAAAAAAAAAAAAAGAGGCTGTCCAGAAGAGGAGGTAGGAAAATGAAATAAAGTATTATTACAGTGTTATATACAGGGGTTGGACAAAAATATGGAAACACCTTTAAAAAAACATGTTTCTTTGCTTAATATGGTATAGGAAACCCGTTGGCATCCAAAACAGCTTGCAGTTTTCTCGGAATGGATAAATACAGTTCCTGTATGTTTGCCAAGGGAATATTATACCGTTCTTCCTGCAAAACGGTGGCAAGTTCAGATAACGATGTTGGCGGTGGATAACGAGAACGCACTTTGCGTTCCAATGTAGACCACAAAGGTTCGATAATATTCAGGTCTGGTGACTGTGTTGGCCAGGGGAGATGGGACAACTCATCCTCGTGCTCAGAAAACCAGTCCTGGACAATGTGAGCTGTGTGAACAGGGGCTTTGTCGTCTTGGAGGACACCATCACCATCGGGGAACAAAGTTTACCATGGGATGAACTTGATCGGCCAAAATGTTCACATAAGTCTTGGCAGTCATATGCCCTGACACAGTTATCATGGGGCTAGCAGAGAACCACGATATGGCTGCCCAAACCATAACAGAACCCTCGCCATGTTTCACTCTTGACAACAAGCAGTCTGTATTGTAGGCTTGAGATGGCATTCTCCAGACGTAAACTCGGCCAGAAGTGGGAAACAATGTGAAAGAAGACTCGTCAGACCATATTACTCGCTTCCACTTCTCTATAGTCTAGGCTTTATGACTTAAACACCACCTTTTCCTGTTACGGGCATAAGCATCATTGATGAGTGGCTTCTCAATTGCAGCACGGCCAGCAATTCCCTGTTTATGAAGCTCCCTTCTAATTGTTTTGGTACTCACAGGGTTCGGTAACACAACATTCATTTCAGCAGTAACTTTTGCAGCTGTGGTCTTCTTATTTTTCGTCACAATTGCCCTTAATGATCGTCTGTCACGATCACTCAGGACACACTTTCGTCCGCGCTGTGATTTAGCAGATGACGTTTTTCCGCTTTTCAAATATGCGGAATAAATCTTCGATACAATACCTCTTGAAACACTAAACACCTCGGCTACCTTGCTTACGGAAGCACCTACCATACATGCTCCAACAATTTGCCCACGTTCGAAGTCTGTTAACTCTGACATAATGCGATGACAACCTCACATAACAGTACTCCGACAACAACTGAACTGTTTAGTACATTTACGAAGTTGTATAGGTGGCGTCAGTAGTCAAAAACGCCAGCGCCACCTACATATTTCATTAAAATCAATCTTTCCTTTCAAACATGCATTTCACAAGGTGTTTCCATATTTTTGTCCATCCACTGTATATCAAAAGCAGCAATCGACATACTACATGATTACCCAATTATCTTATATAAAGGCAAGCATATCAGTTTAAAATTTTAAAACTTAATTTGGATATGTATAACATTAATCTAAATGTTTCAATATATTTTAAAAGATAGCTAATGTAGATTTTTTTTCCCTTTAGAAGCAAGTTCCAACTACAAACATCCTAAGATTAAATTTTAATAATTTTAAAAATTATATTGCTTATATTTAAAAACTGAATTCATTTTAAGATTTAAATCTATGATCACTGAAATTAAAAAATTTGCGTCACATATATATTTGGTAAATTACATGTACAACTTGTAAAAAAAATGTTCTGTGCAAACTGCAAGCTAAGCTTTAATGCTATAATAATCAGAGATGTATGATAAAATTTCAAAAAAATCATAAATCTGTATTATGTTTTGTGCGTAATAGGTATTAAACAGTTCAGCAAGTGAAGAGTACATGTAATATAAGTAAAGCAGCTTTGTTAGTTACCCAGATGTGTGAATGTATGATGATATACAAAAATGAAGGAAACATTGTACAATACAAAGTCTTTAATCCGGACTCGTCGGGACTTCAGCGATTCCAGATTAGGGGTTTTTCCGGATTATAGATTATCAATTTAAATCTGGTAAGATGGCATGCAGAAATTATAAAATTAAAAAATATGAAACCGTAATTTATGAAATAAAGAGCAATTATGATCTAAAGGGTATCAAAATTTACAAAAAAAAAGCTTAATATTTATTTGTTTACTTTATTAAACATTTCTTTCAGTGTAAGTTGTTTAAGTTGCTTCATTTTATGTGCTAATACTTTCTCTTTAATTCTATAACAGACATAATTTCTTGTTCAGTTACAAAGTTCTGCTGTTCAAATCCTGTAATTGCTGCGCCGAGAATACCGACTAACTTGTCAATCGAAATTTTTTCGATTTCACTAACCTCTCTGTCACTTTCTTCATGCCTTATCCACTTTTTTGCAGCAATTCCACTTTTTGTTTGATAGACATCAAAACATGCTTTCGCTTTGTAGATCTTTTGGCAGCTCCAGAATCAGAAACTCTTTTTGACATAATCGAAAGTTCAAGCTTACTTTTTATAAAATTGCTCTAACAGTCTGCAAAAAATAATAAGCCGGATCCAATTAGAAGATTAAGGAACAATGCAGTCTGCAACATTAACTGAAATAGATAATTAGATAATTTTAGCCTAGCTTATACCGTCCATTATACATTAAACGTGCATTCGTAAACGTATTATGCACATGAATAAGCGCTATGCATGCACAGAAAGTTTGTAGCTTTGAGGTCTGGATTATAGATCATTCCGGATTATGTACGTCCATATTAAAGACATTGTACTGTAGTTGTGGAAAATTATTCGGCTGAATAGTAAATGGTATGTTTGCCTTAAAAATCTTTCAGTGGACTTTCTAGATAATATTTATCATTCTAACATCAAGCTAGAGAAATGTAAGAAACAAGGTATTGGCAAATAATTCTTATTATAAGGATATTTATCAGATCTGGAAAGATATGCTCCATATACCTTACAAGCTAATCAAAGTAGTGCTCAGTGCAGTGGTTAGTGACAATTTAAAAAAAAAAAAAAAAAAAAAAAAACATTTGCATGTTAGAAACTCATAAAGATCTTCTGAATAAACAAGCAAAATAAAGAGAAATATCTAAAGTATTATTGCAGTGTCATATATCAAAATGACAAAAATCAGCTAAAAGTAACTGAAGCAAAACTGATCACTTTAACACAGGAATAAATTATAAAACCACTTACTAAGCAAAGATTAAATCATGAGTGGATAAAACTTAATAGCTGTTTATTCTGCAAACAGGTTAGAGTAACTTTGCAGCTCTCAATCTGGAGTTTCTTGTGGCAGTGATGCTGATACTATTGCCCTAAAGAGGTGGAGAGCAGGTGAAGGGGAAAAAGTGTGTAAAAACATTCTGGAAAAAACTAATCCAAAATGTTTTCTTGTAGGAAAAGTGTTTTTTTTTTAGGAAATTCCAAAATTTTTCTGTGATGATTAAAAGTTGCAGTATGTCACCAATTTGTTAACAAAATTTTGTGAGAAAGACTGGTAAGCCTGTAACACAGTCATTTTTGTACATTTATTTGACAAAGAATTTGAAATACTATGAAATTATCAAGAATTAAATATATAGAAACATAATATAAGTACAGTAAAATCTTGCAAACTCTTGATTATTCAACATTCCATATAACGCGACAGTTGCACTTTATCATTAAAAATCTCCTGTTCAAGCACAACATTAGTTTTGAAATAATGTGGTGATTTATTAATAATTAGACTGTAATAATTTCTATCATGTTATATGGGGAAAACGGCATATTTATGTGTATGAATCTCAGCATGTTTTCGTGTTCTGTACAAAGATTTAGCTCAAAAGATTGAATCTGTAAATTTACAATTTTTGTCTCTTTCCTTTTGTAACACTTTTCTTTAATCTGTGTAATAAATTGCTGTTGATTATCTCTCACATTCCTCCTTTCTGTTGCTAGATGTTATCAGGTTTGTGGCTGTGCTTTGTAACTTTTAGTTCTTTCTAACTAAACTTTTAGTTTAGTTACTAAAAGAACTAACTAAACTTTTAGTTCATTCTGGGTATAGTTCTTTTAGATTTTATCCAGGTTTACAAATGATGCATTACATTGTCCATGCAAGTAAAAATGTGAAAGAAAAAGAGACAAATTAACATAGCAATGGAAACAAAATTGGGTGCCTTGAGAGAATAGACAAAGAGAAAAGTATTCATAAAATTATGATAGACTTAGGTATTGGATGAAATGTTATTATGAGTTGTGAATGTTATGAGTTTTATGACTTAAAACTTAAGATCCTCTTCTGCCCAGATCAAGTTTGGAGAACTCTTTAACTGTACTTACAAATTAAAATTTATGCAAAATAAACAATAAATAAATATAAGTTTACTGTAAAACAGTGTGCAGAATAAGTAATAGTGATGTCTAATAATATAAAATCTTTAAAAAAATGCAAGTATTTGCATAAAATTGTAAGGAATTACCTTATGTAGTAAATATTATTTTGTGATGCATATAATTAGCACAGTGAATTAACAGATTGAAAAGTACAAGGTTTGAATCCCGGTTAGAGCACAGTTGATTTTCTTCTGTTTCTTGCGATAAAAAGTCTGAATGTTTCTATAAAATAAAACAAGACAAATAGATACAGATCAAAATGCAGTAATTTAAACAAATAAAAATAAAAAAACACAAATATTTTAAGATTAAAAAAAAGCTCTTTTTTTTTCAAAATTTTAAGTGAATATTAATATAATTTTTTGCAAAAATTTATAGTATGTTAAATTCCTGAATTATTTTTAGAGATTCAAAAAAAATTTGCAGTAATTGTGTTTCTTGACAATATAACTAATAATTTGCATTAATTCATGGATTTTTATGCAATTAGTTATTTTCCTTTTATGTAATACATTAAATTTTTATTTTAATTATTTGCTGCACGTAATATCTTTGTTTGCAGTATATATGTATATATAAAACAATATGAATATAAAATTTTTAAATTAATATACTGCTGATATCTTTTACATATATAAGGTTGGAGTTATGGATATAGATTTATGTGGACCATCAATGCCCAGAATTCTTGGTGTAGAAAATGAACAGGTAAGGATTATCCATCTACTTAATAATATTAACTAGCATAAATAATCTACAACTAGTAATATTAATTATGAATTATTAATTGACGTTATTGAATTTAGAAAAATTCTCAAACAATACTCGAAAGATTTCCCAATTACTGACTAACAATTCAACTGCCATCTGTAACAGGTTCCTCTTTGTTAAAGAATATAATTTTATTAACAATTTATTTCATTAATAATTACCATGAACCAGAATTTTTAAAATTTACCTATAGGTATATAGATGGCAGAGCCATGCCAAGATATTTTTTCACCTGAGGCAAAAAAGTAAATGTGCACCGCTATATATATATATATATATATATATATCAAATTAGCTATATTTGTATTAAACAAAAGTAAATAAATGTATTAAATCAAAATATAATAATTCTTATAGCATAATTATACCATAATTCTTAAAGTCTTTTTTAATCGTAGCTTTGCAAATTCAGAAAAATAATATAACCAATTATTTATATCTTTCAAATGAAAATGTTAAAAATTCTTTTTCGATAAATAAGAAATAACATCGAAATGCACATTGCATTAATTTCCAGGTTTTCTCGAAATTCTTCCTATTGTTTTATTAATTTAAGTTTGCCGAAGCTTATTTCCCCTAATAATAACTCACAATTTTAAAAACATAATTAAAGTAATTTTCGAATTCGTATGGCCAGTTTGGGCCCCTTTTAGTTATTCACCTGAGGCAAGTTCCTCACCCTTGTCATGGCTCTGATAGGTGACATCATTGACATTTATAATTATAATGAAACTGAAAAACATATACAGTCAAAAGTCGTTAATTCGGACACCCATAATCCGGACCTCAAAGCTAAAAACTTTCTGCGCGTGCGCCGCGTTGGCACATGCGCACAGGTGTTTTACGCTGGCGCGTAAGACCTTGACTACTGCGCATATGCATGTGCGCAAGTGCAGAATACGTTTTCGCTTTCGCGTTTAATGTATAACGGACGGAGTAAGCTAAAATTATCGAATTATCTATTTCAGTTAGTGTTAATGATTGCGTTGTTCCTTAATCTTCGAATTGGATCCCGCTTATTATTTTTTGCAGACTGTAAGAGCAATTTTATAAAAGTAAACTTGAACTTTCGATTATGTCAAATACAATTTCCGATGCTGGAACTTCCAAAGGATCTACAAAACGAAAGTGTGTTTCAATGTCCAACAAACAAAAAGTGGAATTGCTGCAAAAAATGGATAATGACATGAAGAATGTGGCAGAGAGGTTAGTGAAAACGAAAAAATTTTGATTGACAAGTTAGTCAGTATTCTCGGCACAGCAATTAACGGGACTTGAACAGCGGAACTTTGTAACTGAACAAGAAATTATGTCTGTTTATAGAATTAAAGAGAAAGTATTATCACATAATACGAAGCAACTTAAACAACTTACATTGAAAGAAATGTTTAATAAAGTAAACAAATAAATATTAAGCTTTTTTTTTTTTTGTAAATTTTGATACCCTTTAGGTCATAATTGTTCTTTATTTCATAAATTACGGTTTCATATTTTTAATTTTAGAATTTCTGCATGCCATCTTACAAGATTTAAACTGATGATCTATAATCCGGAATCGCCGAAGTCCCGACGAGTCCGGATTAACGACTTTTGACTGTATATCCTAAATGCCTTAATAAACTAACAAAGATGACACCATAGCAGATTAATTTGACTTACATAATTAACAAACTCAACAATATTACTTTATTTCATACTCAATTACTTTATTTCATTCAGACTTAATTCAAATTAAGTTAAACTAATTTGAAATCCAGTTTAACTTAATTTGAATTCCAGTATCTCCAGAAAATTATTGCTAACCTTACTACTAATCAAACAAAAAGAATAAAAAATATCTGTTATAACAGTAGTGATTTTAATGTTTCATTTGCTACTGATTAGGCTGTGTTAATATTTTTTCATTTCAAAACTTTTTTGTCGCCGCAGTGTTACAAATTTTAAGAATTAACGAATTAACTCTTCTTTCTGTTTTTATTTTATGTTTTTATATCAAATTTTCATATATTATTATGTTTAATTGCTTTTGTTTAAATGTTTTGTTTTTTGAACTCAGTCCGCTTATGTAGAAAATAATTTTTTAGATTTCTATCTTTTTTGCTTCTTTATGTATTTGTTGCTATAATTTGCAAAACAATTTTTTACACCAGCCTGTGTGATTTCAAATTTTCATATGTTATATATTTTCATGTATTGGATTACTTGTATTTGCATGATTTGTTTTTTTCACATGATCTACTCAAAATAATTACTTGTATTTTACACTTATTTATGATGTTAATGCTATGATTTTGCAATTTTTTTGCTATACTCTACTGCAACTTGTAAGGGTTAGCCTTATAAAGACACAAATTTGATTTTCTAAAATTATTATAAGTATTAAACTTTAATGTGCGTCTTGTTGGTTCGGAAACAGACTTATACATTTACTTCTTTCATTGCACCAACCCTTGATGACAGTGCAGTAAAAGATTCATTTTTTTTTTTTTTTTTTTTTTCCTTTTCATTTTTGGTTTTGGCAATTACTGTGCTTATCATGCAGTTTACCACCACTATGCTATGTTTTTTTTTTTTTTTTTTTTTTTTTTTTTCCTGCATATGGTTGGTTCCAAATTAAGTATGAGATGGGTTTTAAACATTTAATTTATTTTGCCTCATTACCATCACTTGTTGAAGCTTTCAGCATGCAATTGATTAAGTTTTGAACTTCTTTATATATATATATATACACACATGCATGTGTGTGTATGTGTGCATATGTATGACTTTCTCTCAGTGAATTATTGTTCTGTTTTCCGTGAAACAAGTATAAAGAAATGGTATAAGTGTTGTAACATGTACAGTTATTTTCTTTCATTTTGGATATATTGCAACAAAAAAAGAAAGCAATAGAGTTGATTCTTTTTCTGAAAGAAACATGATAAATCTTAAAATGAATCTGCAGTCAGTAAGAGGGACGGGATTTTCTTATCTTCTTTGGGATAGTGTATAATTTAATAGGGGCACTTAACATGCAGTAAAAACATTTTATACTGCACATTTGATTTTTTTTTTTTTTTTTTTTTCAGTGCCAGGAAAAATTACTTCCTCTGAAGGCATATGATCAATTTAAATACATATAAGGAGAAAAATTGCTTTTTGAGCTTTAACTTGTGGAAAAAGATTTTTAATCCTTCTTTAAGATTCAATAGATGTTGTAGATGTTTTTTCTTGTAGCAATAGCGGATTAAAAAGCATTGTTGTGTTTTTCTTCTCCGACACCAGTTGTTATGTTATTTTCTTCCTTCACGTACTTCCTTCACCTACTTATTTCGTATGTGTTTCGTAAGGATTTGGAGTGAATAATGACAATACTACTTGATGAAGTATCAAAACAACACTTTATTTGCCTATATTAATCAGGTAACTCCAAATTCACTTTTACAGTCATCGAACTGTTACAAACACGCTGACATAGCCTTCACACTGTCATGCAATAACTGTGAAGACAGCTTCACTGCAAAGTACCAGGGTACAGCTCTCGACTCTGCTCGGTCGTTCTCGGAACTCCACATACTCTCGAGACTCTTCACACTACGACTCGCGATGCACTCGACGACACACAGAGCACGGCTCCCGACTTTTTGGTTCAGTCGTTCCCAGAGCTCAACAGGCTCTCTCGATGATGCACTAACCGCGATACACTAAGAGACTCCTTCGATGAACTCGAGGACCCACTCGGCACTTGCTGCCCGGCTGTCAACTGGATTTGTTCGCTAGATGAGACACCAACTCGATACTAACTCTCTGCGTACCAGCAGGGTTTATATAGCTTTTGGCTGGTGTTCGAGAACATTCTGGGCTAAACCGGTAAAAATTCGTTCCAGAAGGTTCTCCATCCGTCCATGGCATATCGCCAAATGGGCAATTTCTCGCCAAATTTGGCAACCCTGCCTGCGCTTGCCATTTTATGGCAACCCTAAAACTGCTTTGCTGGGAAGCTATCTCACCGCGCCTGGACATTTCGTAACAGTATCAAGAACTTAATTTTCAATTTGTCGAATTCTAGCCAGGAATGTCCTTATTACTACTTTTTATCTTTCCCTTTTTCAGCATGTATCAGCACCCTCTAAGTGCAAGCTGCTTTTGTAAAAATATGTTTGTCATGGTTTTATAATTGATGAAATGAATCATTGCCATCCCAATATGATTTCGTTTACTAAGCATTAGCTCCATTTTTCATACTAACTTGAATAATCATCTTCATACATGAGAATATATGTTTTACTTTTTTTTTTTATTTAAAGTTAGTTATTTTATAGTTAATTTTTAATTGGTAAATTCATTTATTATCTTCCAACATTCATATAATTTCTTTTCATTTCTGAAGCAACTGTTGTCACAATACCTTACATCCATAACACATGGCTTCATATATTGCTTTTAAATCATTTTATTAACTATACTTCGGTTCATAATTTTTTTCCACAGCTTTCTCATATTTGAATCTTTACAGTAAGGTCACTATAAAAAAAAACTATTTAATTTATCAATTAAGGTAAAGATGTTTTTTGTTTGAGATTTGTCTTCTGATATCAAAATGCAGGTTAATAAATGAGTTTTATAACCACTTGTATACTCTCTGTATTCAGGTTATCATTTGTATATGGAGGGAAATGTCAAGTGGAATATCTCCCAATTGCAGTAGTTTTATGATTAATTGGTCTGTATGGGATTGGTCCTTAGATCCCATAAACAAATGCTCAATGAATCTGTGAAAGCATATAAAATAACATTATAGATTTTATATAAATATTTATTAAACATTTTAGTTATTTTTATTTATTTATTTACTTTTTAAGCAGGTGCACTATTTTAAAGTGTGATATATAAGTTTTCAATAATGAGTCATCAATACCTTTCAATTTTTAATTTTATATTACATCTTTTTGCAAGCATTTATTCTGATTCTGTTTGCTTACTAAAATCTTGGAAGGGATTTGTGGTTTTTCTGATAGTCATTTACTATGCTTTTCTTGGCATTTAATTCATATATGTCCAAATCAGACATTCTCTGTTATCTCACACATTTCAATAGTTAATACATTGTTTTGTTATTGCAATTCATCATTTCAAGCTAATGTAAATGAAAAAACAACAAGAACTCATGAAAAATATGTACACAAAACTGCAAACCAAAATATACAGATACAACCACTGTAATTGTAAAGTAAGCCAGAGAGCTTTCAAGAACTGTGATTAGCAGTGCAGTTATTCAAATTTATTTTATTTTAAACTATCATCAGTTGATGCCTATTTATTATATCAATTAAATAAATAAATATCAAGTACTTTCAAAAATATGATTTTGCTCTGTTTGTATTATAAGTGTATTAAATAATAGTTTAATGTTATGTATTGGGCAGTGTATGGGATTGGAAGTTTATTATTTATTCTCAAAACAATCATTTCTAAACAGAAAGAGACATAGATCATGATTTTCATAAATATATAAGTTTCATAAGTTCATAAATACGTGTGATTATTGACATTGCAGCATATTCTACTTACATGTATATAGCAGATAATTTTCTCCATACTTTTTGCAAGCAAAGACTGGGAAAAAATTTGAGAGCTTGAGATTTTTTCCTAATTAAATTATAATTGTTCAATAATGATAACTGCCTCAGTTGTCAAGATAATTATGTAGAGAAATAACCTGTATTGCACATTAATTTTTGGTAATAAAATCCTATAGCCCATTAGATGTTGGGGAAAAAAATAGCCTATGTATATAGGTGAAAATTTACATATTCTTGCTATTGATACTACTAAAGAAGTTGAAAACAAATTTAAATGTAAAATTTGTAGTCTTGTAACCAATAATGCAATATATGCAAAAATGATTTTTTTAAAAAATTCTAGATTTTATTTTATGGTTGTTCAGCACATTAACATAATTTATTGGTTAAATATATCAAATGCTGCTTAATGTGTTATTAAAATCAAAATACTTTAAAAATCATCTGCTTGAACCAAATTGTAAATTAACTGGTTATAAATTTCCTAAAACTGTAGACCCCTCCCCCTTTTATTTCTGTTATTCTGCAGGTTAAACACAAACTTTTGGTAGTTTTCATAGCTTCTGTATTTCCATCCTAAAATAAATCATGTTGTTCTGTTTAAAATAAAAATCTTATGCTTGTTAATTTGTCTTATTTATTACTTATTATTGTAGACTTTGACTTAATTCACAGCATGAGAGCACGAAGTAATATTTAAATGGTTTATTTAATAGGAAGAAATAAAAGTAATTAAGAAAAGTATATAAAGATGAAGTTAACGGTATGCAGGATTAATATAATGATGTAGTCCTTTTACACCTAAAGGCATAACATCAAAAGCACAATCTAAATTCATAAACTCTTGAAGACGTGTGAGCCGTCTGCTCACGTCTGCCCTCCGCTCTCGACCAGGTCTCAGCGCTGTCTGGGATGATTCTTACTGCGCTGGGCTGTGATGGTGACGTCATCTCGTATTCTAATTCAGCATTGGATGTTGATGACTCCCACAGCTTCGGCCAGCCTGAAGAGGCATCGTCCTCGATGTCTGTTGACTGGACATCACTATCATGTACCTGCAAAGAGAATTAAAAAAAAAAAAAAGAAAAGAAAAAAAAGGAAAAAGAGTATCAGGTCCTTAGGTTTTGAGCTGATACAAACATCAAATCAATTTGACCATGGCTTCATATGGTCATCCGCAGTAGATGTCAAATTCGGTCCTTCATGGCATCCTACTTTCTCGACTTCATATCTGTCATTTGATCGAACAGGTATGATTTTATACGGTCCATGAAACTTAGGTCGTAGTTTCAAACCAGTCCCATATTGAGTTCTTTGAATGGCTACCAAGTCGCCAATCTTGTATAGTTTCGGTTTCTTACGTTTCTTGTTGAAACTTGTTTACGATTCTCTTCTTGTATCTTCAAAATGTTGTTTTTCGCATCTTCTCTCATTTCATCATGTTCTTGAACCAATTGTTTTAGATATTCTTCTTTCAATATCTCACTAATTCTCAAATCTTCTTTCTTCTTCATTTTCGTGCCTATGAGAAGCTCAAACAGTGAATATTTCGTACTTCTCGTAGTTGTACTGTTGATTATTCTCTGAACATCTGGAACATACTTAAACCATTTCGTTGAATCTTCATGTGATAATTTTGACAAAACAGGAATCAAAATTCTATGAATTCGCTCAATTTGTCCGTTACCTCTTGGAATACCGGTAGTAATTTTGACATGTTCTATACCTTCTTCAGTACAATACACTGAAAATTCTTTCGATGTAAAGGCACTACCTCGATCTGAAATGATTCTGGCTGGATTTCCAAATACAGTCTGTTGTTGCTTCAATTTTGAAATAACTTCTTGCGTAGTTGGTGATTTCACTAGATAGAAACAAGTTAATTTCGTAAAAGCATCGACAACAGTTAAAATGTGTTGGTATCTCATGTTCGTTGATGGAAGAGGTCCAATAAAGTCGATATGATACGTACTCAAGGGAACGTTTTCTTTCGGTACAGGATGAAGAAATCCTTCTCCTTTTCCTTGCTTCTTGTTGTACAGTATACATTCTATACAGTTAGCAATTACTTTTTCAACTTTGCATTTCAGTCTGGGAATATAGAATTCTTGCTTTACAGCATTCACAGTTTTATCTACAGCAAAGTGACCTTTTTTATGTACCTTCTGTATGATTTCATTCTGTAAGGATTCTGGCACTACTAGAAGATCTTTACCATTTTCAAATTTGTACAAAATATCATTTCTCATGAAGAATCCATGTTTTTCTCCCTTCTCAACTAAATTCTTTATCAATTTCACGTGTTCATCTTCATTCTGTTGTTGTGCTAACCGAATCTTCTCAGTTACATCGGATGTGTATGATGTTAAAATTAGAGCATTTCTACTTAAGCATCAGCATGTTTCATTTGGCTTCCTGAACGATGTACAATTTTATAATCGAATTCTTCAATAAACATTGCCCATCTTGCAATCTTAGGAGTTAAATCTTTCTTATCTAAAGTTTTCTGAAAAGCACTACAATCAGTTACAATTTTGAATTAGTCCCTAACAAATAGTTTCGAAATTTCTTCAGAGCTTCTATTACTGCAAGGGCTTCTAATTCGTAACTACAGAGTTTCTCTTGCTGCAGTGAAGTCTTCTTACTCATATACTGGATTGGGTGATAATTACCATCATCAGACAGTTGGAGTAATACCG